ATGATGAGTATGAAAGTTGAAATCAAAGTTTCATGCAAATTCAGATTTTTCTAAGTTTGAAATTTTGTAGAAAATTTGAATTGAAAGTTTTGAATGATGTTTTGTGTTTTACATCAGAAATAAAAACGAAATTTATACATCTAATGCACCCTTTCAAAAGCCTCTAAATACATAGACGAGTGCAATAATTCATGGTCAAGAGTTGCAAATCAACATTCATCATAACATAATTTGTTTTCAAAAAACTTCAGTGGTAGTCGGTTACGGATCTGCAGTAACCGATTACCCAGTTCAATTAACGTTCAAAATTTTCAAAAACATGAAGCTGTAACCAGGTACCAGAAGGCAGTAACAGGTTACCATTGAACCAAAAATATTTTCCAAAATTATTACAAAAATTGTAACCGGATTACCCATAACTTGTAACCAATTACCACTGATATGAAAAGTGAAAAAAAAACTTTTTTAAAGGCTTGAAAGTACAATGTTAATGATCTTAAAGCTATGAAACATGTATGCAAAATGTTTAAATATATTTTGAACACTTATATACACTTAAACTTCTTATTAATACTTGTCCTTATAAAATGGTGATAAATCTTCAAAAATCTTTATCATAGAAGTTGCTTATATATTTGAAAAGTCTTCATAACTTGGTTTTAAAGTTATATATATATATAAATCTTTATCATAGAAGTTGCTTATATATTTGAAAAGTCTTCATAACTTGGTTTTAAAATTATATATATATATATATATATATATATATATATATATATATATATATATATATATATATATATATATATATATATATATATATATATATATATATATATATATATATATATATATATATATATATATATATATATATATATATATATTGAAGAGTTTCTTTTACAGATTTTTTTTATAAATTTCTTTCATACATTCTTCATATTATTTTATATAAATTACATGGTGATCTTTATCAAAAATATATTAATGGAGCGCATGTACTTACAGATCAGTTAAAAAAAAATATTAGATGAATAAGTTGTATTGGAGCTTCAATAGTTACTGGCCATCATAATAAATTTACAAATGAAAACACTTGTATGAGGTGAATTTTAGTCAAATTCAAATAAATAATTGAATATAAAAGAATAAAATAGACATATCTTTAAAACTGTAAATGTAAATGTTGGGTTGGTTTTTACAAGTGATTTGGATCGGATCCCAGTAGTCAGTAGAATTAGTTTTTAATTCGATTAATTGATTGACACGCAGCAGGCCAGAATTCAGACTTGACACAACAAAAAAAATAAATACTGCATGTGAAAAGTTAAAATTAAAAACTGCGGTGTCAAAAAATACAACAACATATGACGATAATTACAAAAATAAAAGTTCAGCTTCTGCATGTGCAGACTGCACATCCTGCCCCAAACTTAGGTCCCCACTTCTTTACCAAAAGTTTATTTTTTATTATTATTTATTAAAAGTTTGTTAAATTTTTGTTTTTATTGTAGAACATCACTCATACAATTTTTAGGATTTTTTTATGGCCAAACAAAACAAGTGGAAATTATACAAACTGTGATTGTGATTGGGATTTTTTCCACTTCTTTGTTTTTCTTCAAGCTAGAAATCAAGAAGACCAGCAAGTGGAACCGAATTATTAAATCAAAAATAATAATAAGTCAATGAAATTAAAAGAGTTTTAGTCAATAGTTTAAAATTTGATTCAGCCACCAATCCGGTTAGGTTATATTTTTTTTTCTTTTTGATAATAGTTAAAAATAATTCATTTAAAATCAGTGTTATGATTTAGAAATAAAAATTTCTGAGATTGTTATTTCAGAAGGATAGTACGTGATAATTTAATTTATATATTTAAATAAATTTATAATTAATTTTTCATAATATAAATTTATAAGAATTTTCTCACAAAAGAGTTTTTTTCTTTAAAAAATTTATTACAACAATTTTTTCTTTAAAAAATTTATTACAACAATTTTTTCTTTCTGGTTATTTTCTCTCTTCTTCTATCTTCTTCATCTTAAATTTTATGATCCAACAATAATTTTCCAACAATAATTTAGTAGTATTATTAATTTCAAAGATTGGGTTTTCTTTTATATATTATTAAAATTATTTAGAAAATATTGATTCACATAAAATTGAATACATCGATGATATAATTTGGTCTCATAATAAAATTACTATTGAATTACATGATTAGTTTTTAAAAAACATCATTATGTTGTTGTGGACCCTTTCAGATATGACAAATTATGCACTAAATAGGAATTAATTGGAATGAAAGGATATTTATATTTGTTTGTCGATGCAAATATAGTAACTGAAATCATGCTAGTAGGTACATAAATAGGGGTGTATATATACATATATAGAATACTGTTATCATCATTTAGTACTTTTAATACTCTTCTTTTCAAACCTTCGTCATATTATAGTTGGTGAAATTATATGATATAAAAACGAATGATGATATTTCTAACATCTAAATATTAATTTCATATGTCAATACCATATAAAAATATACATTTTTTTAATCGAACAAAAACATTTTTATCAATAAATTCAAATATAATACAGCTCAAACGATTAGAAGTGATCCAATAAAAATAAATAAAACAAAAGTCAACCGACACCCTATATCTAAGACATTAAAAGTTTTCCTATATATTATCTAAGTTAAAATGAGTCCAACAACTATAAATAATATAATTTACAAAAAATATACATTTATAATCACTAATGTGACAAAAAATAATAAAATAATAAAAATATCCTATATACAAAACCTTATATAAATAGTAATTAGCGTGTTGAACATTTGAAAAGATACCCAAATAATATTTTCTCTAATAAGAATTGCGTGTGGGGACATTTTCAAAGTGGTATAATCAACGTAAAATTCATTTTATAAAAAAAGTAAGTTTAGAAAAGAAAGTATATTACAAGCACTCTTAAGTTTCCGAACATATTATAAATATATATAGTTGTTGTACAGAGTCCACACGTTTTTTGTGCTTCAAATATTTTGTGAAAAAAAAAGAAGGTTGAATTGAGTTAATTATTCTAAAATTAAAAACAAATAAATGTATCTAATATTTTATTTTAATATTTTTAAAAACATGTGAATCAACGTTATATATTTGATCAAAATTATATATTATCTACGTTCTTTTTTATAACAGATAAATTATTTTTTAGGTTTATTGAATAACTAATATATTTGGTTTGTGTTCTGGATTGGATTGGCACTTCCCATCGTTGAAGAAGCCCAATCCAGCGTCTTTGCAAAGGTTCAAAAACGTGCAACCCAAACTAAGAACAGTTGGGCATTTTTTCATGTGTCCACTAGGAGAACATGACTCATGTGTTCATAACGTCGTCATCTTGTCTTTCGAGAATAATTAGTCCAACTTCCTTGCTTTCTCAGGACAGTTGATCAGGGAGGAGACCACGTGTTGGACTTTATACACCACGTAAATCCTGACAGTCTTCATTATTAGGTCTCATTGTGGCTCATTACTGGAGACCTTGGCCCAACGTTGTGGGATATAAATACTCTATCTCTTGAGAGGGTCAGGTATTGATTCATCCATTCATACTCTCATATTTTACTTACACTTACTCTGAATCTTACTTTGGCATCACTGTGTCTTGCAGGTACCCCTACTTCACTCAACCACTGCTCCATTTGAAACTCGTGAACCTTGACAATTTCTTCTAATTAAGTACGATCAGTTTGTTTATATATTAGATACATTGATTATTCAATAAATTTAAAAGTGAATTATCTCTTATAAAAAAGAACGGAGATAGTATTAATTATAAGTTAATTGAGGCAGCCACTTTGATTGACATTAATTAATTTTAAAAACATACATTTCAATTTGCAAAGAAAAAAATATTTATTAAACAAAAAAATTATTATGATTTCTGATATCCAAGAATTGCTACTGAGATATTAAGAATGTGTTTCTCCTTTTAAAATTTTAAGTTTGAATTTTGTTAAATTCTAATAATTTATTTCTTGAAGTCAAGTATATATAAAATTTTGTTCTGATTTTAAATTTGATCTTCGTTAAAGATGTTCGCATATCAATTTGATTGATTACAAGATAATTTAATACTCGAATCAATTAAAAATTTATGAATTGATCATTTGGATGAAATTTGTATATTATTGTGATAAAGTCCAAAATAAAAGAAATCGGAAAACAACGAATGAATTTAGGTTGGATTGATCGGATAAATTAAAAATAAATATACACAAATATTTTTAAAAATTATTTAATTTATATCAATTAATTTTCTATAATAATGTAAAATTCTCAATGTTTTTGTATTTTCATATAGGTTGAAAAAGTCACAAATATCGTTTTATTTTTTTCTTATTTAAGTTAAATATTTTATATTATTTTTTATGATAAAGATGATATAAATATACAAATTTAATTATAGTTGATTCAAATTGACGTATTTTTCCAATAGATTTTTAAAATTATGTTCTTTAAACCATTTAACACTAAATTTTATTGATTTAATTCAATGTTTGTCCGAACTAAAAAAATATCTAATCAAAGACTATCAATAATTAAAAAACAATTCCAATGTGAATTTGATTATTACATTGAACTAAAACAAACAAAAAAATTATAAAGTTTGAAAGTTGAGCCCAAAACAAAAATCTTGCGGTATCTCTAGGCTCCCGACATTGGACGTGGAGATGACCATACCATCCATGCATGTATCAATATCTGTACCCTACTTAACAAAATAAATTATTAAAGTGGGGTACTATATATATAAAACATATCATCTAAGTTATTACTAACAAGTAACAAACACACCACTTTCTTTTCCTTCAAAATTACCATCATAATTCACATTCACATGCCAAAACCATAGTTTCATTCTACTTTCCCATCTCTATCTTCATGACTACCCTTTTTATTGATTCTGATTCCACCGTAGAAAACATGAAACACGATTTAGTGGTGCAAGAAGGATACGTTTTTGAACAAGAGATTCATCTCACAGTGCTTAAAACCTCTCTTTTCTTCGCCGGTGATGGTTTCACGGTCTATGATTCTAAAGGTGAAGTTATTTTCAGAGTTGAATCTTATGGACCTGATTCTCGTGACCTTGATGAACTTGTTTTAATGGATCCGGATGGCCGCTGTCTCCTCACCGTTCGCCGCAAGGTACGCCGCCATTAATTTTCTTCTCAGCCGAGTCAACTCGTTGAGTCAACTTTAGTAATAGTAGAATTTAAGGTTTAGGGTTGGTGATAAATAATCATTGCTTTTCAGTATCTGTGATTTACACGTTCAGTAACACTGTTACTGTAAAAAAAAAAAGTTGCTTAACAATTTTTCTGTTTGTTTTGTTTCGTACAAACCCTCTTAAGAGAAATGTGTCTTTTTAACCCATCAATTGAACTCGAGTGATAAACTATCTTCGATTAAAGGAAGGAAGATTTTGAAAATATCAAGTTCGATTTATGATAGAAACAATGTTTAATCAATATTATAATTTACCGATGTGAGTTTTAGATTGCTAAGACTCATAAAAACCAAAATGCATAATTGTGGAAACTTTGCTAATAGCATTTTAGCTAGTCATAGTTCAAACAAATATCAATATGATTAGGTTGAACATCCAAATTTCAATTTGAATCTATACGGCATAATTGTGTGTGAATTCTTATTGGTTATTATTATTTTGTCTAAATTATTTCCCTTATGAAAAATGGTATACGGATGAGGTGGAGCAGACATTATTGAGGATGTGGACTTAAAATTTATCCCTATTCCAGAAAGAAAAAAAAAGTGAGGGCGAAACCAAAAAAAATCTACGGATACGGTATCTTTTAAAATTAAAGATATAAAAATTTATGTAAATGTAAATGTTCGCAAAAGATCACATATAAAAATGGAATGATGTGGGACAAACATATTAAAAGATGAGGGTCTAAACTCTTGATCTGTCTCACACTAAAATATAAACAACACAGATATATCCAACGGACCGGACCCATTTTCCTGCTGTTAGATATGTGGCTTATATTATCTTATATTATTACCTTAGAAGAATCATTTGATTCTAACTATTAAAAAAAACTATAATAAAGTTTTGATCCTTCTAGTTTTGTTAAATTGTGTCCACTAGTTTATGATTCTAAAAAGTTCGCCTTAAATTTAAAACACATATTATATTGGAGAATGATTTTTGAGAAGAGAATGATTTTTGAGGAGAATGATTCATTATTTTTTTTATTTTTTTTTATAAAGTGGTGATTTGTTCAACTCCTAAACCAACCATTTAAATTTATATAGATTAACTATCACGTACATACCAATTAAATTACTCTACTGTTCGAATTATTCATTAAAATTAAAATTTGGCATTCCAGCAAGCAAACACACATCTAAATGTAAGAGTGTCGTGAATTTAAAGAAGATCCAAATAATAGTATGTGATAAAAAAAAATGATAAATGTTACGTTTTAGGTGGAGAAATGATTTGTCTCTCTTAAAGGTATTTATTTATACACTATATATCAATGTTTCTAATAATCTCCCCAACAATAAATACACTGAAAATATAAATTAATTTTATAGTATTAATCAATAATGATCATATATTCTGTTATATTATATTTTAATTTTAATTTTTTTTTAGTGAAATCATATATAATAAATTTTTTATTAGATGATAATATAAAATTATTTATTTTATCCGTAAATGTCTATTAAACCTTCGTAAAAACATAGAAATGCACGGTAATTTTATAAAACCAAATAAGACATTATATTACAATATCAAAATTAGAAAGTAAAAAAAAAAAAAAAAAAAACTAAAATTCATTTAAATTATAGGCAAAAGTTATTCCACAATTTATGGTGTGCAAGTAAAATAGAGTTGTAGGTATAAAGGTGTTGTTTTATATTAGAAACAAATATCTAATTGTAGAAACATGTACATATTTATGTATGGTACAACATGTGCATATTTATGTATGGTACACGAATGATTTCATTTCTATAGATAGAAGTAGCCTTTGTTTTGTTTCAATGATTTGAGTAGACTTAAGACATTTTGTTAATGCAGAAAGCGAGTCTACATCAACGGTGGGATGGCTACAAAGGCGAAAGAATAAACGGTGATAAACCCACCTTCAGCGTGAAGCGATCATCAATAATGGGACGGTCATATGCTGGAGTTACAGTGGAGGTGTACGATACTACCGGTGAGGAGTACCACATTGAAGGATGTTTCTCGGAACGCAGTTGCACCGTTTATAACGCCACAAAAGAATCGGTGGCTGAGATTCATCGCAAAGTGGACCCCACCACAGGTGTTTTGATTGGGAAAGAAGTGTTCTCTCTTTGTGTTAAGCCTGGCTTTGATGCTGCTTTTGCAATGGGATTCGTGCTTGTTCTTGATCAAATCGGCGGTGATGATTCTCTTGAGGAGGATGCCAGAGCTGAGCCTACGGTGCACCCTACCACAGAAGATTATGAGGATAAATAAATAAATAAATAAATAAACTTTGTTTAGATATTACCCCACTAATCTTTATAGGGTCATGCTTTGAAAGAAAACATATCTCAATTTCCTATGTGATCTAGAAAATTTTATATATTATTTTTATTAAAATACACATGTATCTAAAGTTGAACTTATCTCCACTCTTAATCAAATACCACTTTTTTCAGTGGTTAAGTTAAGTCACTCTAATATTTTAATATATTATTTTTTTCATATCTATATTTTAATATATTATATATGTGAAGATTTGATCTGCATGTAGGTATGAACACATTTTTTTAAAGTGATTATGAAATGTAGTTTTTTAGCTATATAATGACATGATTATTATTGTCAAAGAACATTTTTGCTATTATTAAAGCCCTAAATATGATTATGCTAAATTAAAGTGTTATGATTTATGAGTTTAATTTAACGGAAATGTTTATGATTAGTTACTTTATACACTGATGTTTTAGTGTATTTTGAAAAGGATAAATTGTGTGATGTTTAAAACATGACACGTTAGTGTTTGGAACTTTTGTAAGAAAGTAGGTTATGTTTTACAAATATATTATCTTTTTAGAAAAATCTTTAATATTATTTTGTTTGTATTGATTAAGCAGTAGGTAGATAGCTTTTGATTTTGTTCCCCACTAACATTAGATGATGATTTAAAGGTAATATGATAGGTTGTCAACTGATTAACTAATATACTAGTAGTTTAGTGGTTTTTACATTATGGCTTACTTTATAGGGCCCTCTTTATTGATATGAGGGGGGAAATTGTAAGAATTGGAATAGGAGAGCATAAATAGTTAGAAAGTTAGATGGGCGCTTTGCTAGTTCGTTCTTGTTTTTCTTTTGTAATCTGATTGAGTACTGCTTGTGCTCATTTTATTACATTCTTTTTACTTATAAAAAAAATTAAAAAGTGGTACAGGAGTATCTTGTTAGGCTTGCATGAATGAGAAGGTATTTGTGGGAGTTTCATCAAACAAGTGGTATTAAGTTCAATTGTGTTGACATACAAAATGCAGTTTTTCGAAAAAGATAGTTGTAATTAATTTTTAGATTATTTTGTTCATTGATAATTTGTCTTCTTTCCTTCTTTTATTTTAATCATGGATGAAATCAATTACATACAATTTTATATTTTCAAGTCAAAGGATTCTATGATCTTTGGACAATGTTGATGGAAAATCTCAGTCAAGCGCTCATTCATAGAAACTATTTTTGTTCATGAAACAACCAAAAATATATGAAATTTCATGAACAAAAAATATCAAGCCTCAACGAACGTGAAACATGCTCAATTGCAATTGTTAAGACGTGAATTTTAGGTTCTTGCAATGGAGGAGGTTGAATTAGTTGATGAATACTTTACTCTTATCCTAAATATCACGAATATATGAAACCTAAGGGAAAGAAGACGGGTCAAATCTGGATTGTTGAAAAGAATCTAAGATTTATATCTTTTAGGTTTGATTATGTTGACCGTTAGATTGAAGAATTTAAATTATGTGACCACTTTGTCCATTAAAGAATTTCAAAGTAGTTTGTAAGTTAATGGTCAATGCATGAAAAGTTCCGAGGAGAAAGATCAGACTCTAAAGATTACTAATGTTGAGAATAGAGATCTAGTTGTGCAGGGGTGTACCTCTTATGATCATGGAAGGAGAAGGTGGGGCAACAAATTTGTGGAGTGTTACAAATTTCATCAGGTAGATCACAATTAAAGTGAATGTCCTAGCTGGAAGGAGAATGCAAAGTATGATTAGTCTGACGAAGATGAAGAAATGATTTTAATGACTCAAGAAGGTAAATATTTGATCGTGGCGCAGTTTATGCTTCTATGTGATGTACAAGTTAAAGTCTTTTAAAGGTTTTGATGATGAAAATTGAACAAAACAAAAATTAAATCACAAGTATCATCATTGAAGAAGCAAGCTAAAGCAAAATATACAAGTTCCTCAATGAAGAGCTAAAAAGAGTCAAATCAAACAAACAAAAATATCTGAATCTGTGAAAGCTCTCATGATCCTGAACTTAATGTTTTAATCTTGTATTTGATCATATGAATGTAATTTTAGCAAGGAAAAGTATTGAAGTACTAAGGTGATGCACACACACACTAAAAGAGTTTTAAACTCTTCATCTTTTTATCATCTTTTCTATAAATGAATCCACGAAAGTACTCAATTAATTAAGAAGCAATATTGATCAATTAAGAGAGCTAAACATACTATCAAATCGATTATAGCTTTTATCATATCGATTAAGGAGTGAGTTCACCTCTTATCAATTAGGTATACCTTTAACTGATTAAGATAGGAAGCAAATTAGGGATTCCTTTTATGGCTTAGTATAATCGATTAAAAACCATCCAAGCCCATAAATTTATGTTTTTTGAGCTAAACTTTTTCCTATATAAATAAGTGTTTTGCTCTCTTCCAAATCACAAATTTTATAAATGATTGCGACTTTATGAGTCTATCGGATTATCTAACTGCAAGTGCACGGGTTATCACGTAGTTTTAAAAGATATTGAATCCACAAGGACTAATAATCAAACTAATGTTATCAATTGTTGTTGTGTAAAGCTAAGGCGAATGATTTCTTTGATTAACCAGAATTAAAGCTAAGGCTTAAGTAAATTTAGAAAGTATGATAATAAAGAGAGGTTGGGATGTGTATTATGCGTACCTCGGGGACTCTGTAACTGGTTGACTTATACTGATGTTAAAAATATATTTAGTAGAAAATATCAGTTTAAAGATTAGACCTCACACTCTCGCGCTATTGAATAAACTCATGTTCCTTAACCGTTAGATTTTGCTCTCGCTCGCCCATTTCAATTAAAAATGTGTTTTAAAAACTGAACAAGTCCTAATCGATACCTAAGACGCTCTCGCCCTCCTTAGGATCGATGCCTCGTTCCTACTATCTCATTTGACCCCCACGCTCTCGCAGTGCCGGTTCAAACCTTATTTGATTTTCACTCTCGTGACAAACCGTTTTAATTAAACCTAGAAACAAAGACCAAAACAAAATTTTATAAAGGTTTAAGCCAACTTCGTTACTAAGTCTCGTCGAAAACAAGGGTCCTTACATACCAGACTCAAGACAATTTAGCTAGACATGGTATTGAGCGTAAACAAACTAAACATGGTAATTTATATTAAAAATAACATGTTAATTAATTTAAGAGTGCGATAAACAATAACAATAAAATGCGATAAAACCTGTAAAAGCTGGAAATAAATTGTGAGATTAGAAACAAAGACGAAACTGAAATAACTTCTATTAATTCTGACAAGCTTTACGATCCAAGAGTACAAAGTAACTTAAAACTAAATTGCGATAGTCCCTCAATGCGAGTGATTATCACTTCGAAATTGATTTATGCTTAAAACTAAATTCGAAAAAGCTTCACCTACAACTTAGATTCCTTAAACTAGCTACAAATAGGTCTTATATATAGCTTCCATGTTGCACAACTGCCTTTTGGACGTGCAAGCATTGTTGAGAAAAAGTAGAGCAGTGGGAAAGAGTGAGTCAACCTCACTTTCATGTATTCTGTTACTGCAGTCAAATGGCGACCACTATTAAACTCATGGCGACTGCCATGGGCTTAAGTGAACGTTGGTGGTGTGGATGATGCATGGTGAATGCCATTAGGCCACGGCGAATGCCACGCACCATAATTATGTATTTTGCTGTATTTTTCATCCTTTCTTGCTCCTCTTCCAGTTATTTCGCATAGACGCTCCATAATCAAAAAGTACCTGAAATGCACACAAATAGACATACAAGCGATAGAATATAACTAAACAGCGTCAAATAACATGTGAAACGGGTATCAAAACATGATACGTTTTCATGCTATCAATAAACTATCTACTCTTCTATCTCAGAGATTCTCCTCATGCTGCCAGTTTTATTCACTAAAAAATTTCTCAGTGTTGAGTGGGTGAAAATGTTATTTGAGAGTTATGTTTTCCTGTTCTTGTGTTGAATTAGTTTATTCAAGATCTTAGTCCTCTTATGCCTTTGTAATAGACTCCAAGGCTGCGATCTAAACCATTAAAATGCTTGGAGTAAGGTTGTTGGGTTAAATTTGTATAAAAGCTCAATTTGTTGATAGTTGAAATCTCAAAAAGAAACTCTTGAATATTGGAGTAGGTCGTATGGTTAAAGGCTAAACCTAAGTAATTTTCTAGTGGGATATCTCTACACTTTATCTCTTAATTTTTTGTCTTTTATATTTTCCTGCGGCTTAATCTTTGCTTTCACTCTCCTCTTAAAATCAATTAACCTAAAAGTAATCATTTTCTATAAAAAAAATTGAAAACAACACTCCCACCTATTTTGCTTAAAGTTTATTGTTCAACACGGTTAAGTGAAGACATCTACGATTAGATGGTTTCAAAGGGTAATTGCATTTTTTCTATAATTATATTTGATAACTTCTAGTTTGTTTTCTAGTTTATACAAATTGCGCACAACCCCCCTATTACAAGGACGAACTCACTGCAATGTATTCACAAGTACAATGACCTTGTTCTTGTAGTAATTTAACACAATCATTCTAGATACAATATGCCATATTGAGGTTTTAGTTCGCGTAAATATTGCTATAGTGTTTGCACACCAATAGTAGTAACACCATAATCTACCCACCGATTATTCGTATGTACATAAACTAAATTATTTTTATAACAAACAAAGGTGAAAAAATGACCATGCTTTTTATGCCATGCAGAGTATTTAAAGAAATTCTTCTTCATGTACCTAGATTTCTTGTCGAAGAAACATGTGAAATCATTTAGTTGTTTCTTTGTGACGCGGTCTAAAATACTAAGGATTAGCAAGCGCTAAACCTAGAATAAAAAAACTGGATTGCAAGTGTAAAACTTGTATGATAAGCTCTGAAATCCATCAGATAAAGAAAATAATGAATTTTATTAGCTGAAAAGATGATCTTTGACTCATGCCAAAAG